CAGCTCCCCTCCCACTTCCTCCCAATAGTTACATCTTCCCTGTGTTCATCCCTCCATGCACTCCTGCCCCCTGCACTGTCTCCCTGTGCATAAACAGCCCTTCTTTCTCCCATGATTGTTCTCTCCAAGGAGTGTATCTACCTCAGGTACATGTTCAACTCTTATGCCTAAGCCTACAGATTTTTAAAAAACTCTTTGAACTGTGATAAGTTGAAAATTAGAGAAGAATTTTTTAGTTCATTTGTATATATTGTTCTGTCATTCCATTTTATTATAATCTCATAAAATGAGGGCTTAAAATTGTGTCTTGTATTTGTGTTTTTTAAATATCTTCTCTCCTTCTAGTGACTACTCCAGTGATTATTCTGATTGGACAGCAGATGCAGGAATTAATCTGCAGCCACCAAAGAAAGTTCCTAAACATAAAACCAAGAAAGCAGAAAGTAGTTCAGACGAAGACGAAGAATCTGAAAAGCAGAAGCAAAAACAGATTAAAAAAGAACGGAAAAAAGTAAATGAAGAAAAAGATGGACCAACATCACCAAAGAAAAAGAAGCCCAAAGAAAGAAAGCAAAAGGTTGAAAGATTTTTTTTTTTTAATAAATTTAATATTTTCAATGAAAATAACTGGAAGCACATATTTTGAAAGTATGGAACAAATCAGCAAATAATAACAGGAGGAAAAAAAAAAAAAAAACCCAGAAATATATAGTTGTAAAATAAAGTATACCAGATTATATTTACTAACAGAATGATCATCTTCTTAATCTTAAGCATTTTAAGCATAATCTTATAACATTATGAAATTTTTCTTGACAATCCAGTGGGATTTATTCATTTATATTTTACTATTTATAAAATGGTGTTACAAAACATTTATTAGTTGCCTTTACCTTTTAATGATCATAATTAATTCTTATTGCTGACAGCGAACTGAAAGCCTCAGGAGAACATCTCATGAAATAAGAATTTTTATAAAAATTGTTATATTTGACCACAAAGCATATATGTATCTTAAGTAGAATACCTCTTTCATAAAAAACCTTTTTTAATTAACAGTGTGTGTGAACCATAATTAGTTGGTCCTTAGTTCAGTAGTACTTTCGGTTTGATTATTACATTTTAAGATTATGGATAATTTGAGACAAGTCAAGGACAGGAAGAAATACTATTATGGAAATAATGTTTTATCAACTCTTAAGCAGTTGGAATTCTTTAATTTAGGAATGGAAGTAAGTAACTTTTTCTGAAATAAATACAAGGCACATGTTTTCTGCTCCCCAAAAGACTAACTGGGAAGTATATTTGGAGAAACAAAAGTAACTATTTTTTAAGTCTCTACTATTTCTAGAATTAAAAGTTGCCATTTGTAGAATTAAATATAAGGGAGACTGTCCTCAGAAAGCTTTGAAAAATTTCAAGAATACATCTGTTTTGGGTTTAAGTGTTTGTTTTATGTGCATCTTTTGAGCTTTTATTCACATCATTTTTATAGTTATGAATTGCTTTAAATTAGATCCTATAACCTTTTCTTGTTGCCTCCTCCTGCTTTGGTCTTTACCAAAGAGAATTTGCCTGCAGGTTTTCTCTTCTGCCTCATTAGTGATGATAAATTTAGGCTGACCCATTATTTTATGTGGTAGATAAATTGGTTAAAGATAACAGATTTAGCTATGTGATACATCACTGTGAAAACTTAAATTATTTTGTACCAGCAGTGCAATTTACTTCAGCTGATCCCTTGATTTGGCTCCTTCACGCAATGCCACATTTGTATCTGCTGATAACTGCTTGAAATACTGTAAATCTACCATTTTGCTGGAACTATTACAAGATCTGTCACCTATTATGTTTACAAGGGACAAGCTTTAAATATCATAAGGTTATGATATTATAAACTATTCCCTTAAGTTTGAACTTTGGTTCGGGGCTTTTCTTTCTAGCCTGCTAGTAGATTTACTAGTTGGTGGATGTGAGGAGCATCCGGGGTGGGCTTGGTAAGTGAGTCAGGCCTGCGGGGCAGGTGGGTGTTTGGGGTGCCCGGGGCAGGCCAGGTAAGCAAGCTGGGTATGCATGGCAGGCAGGTGTTGCAGTGGTTGAGGGAGTACAGAAAGTGAGCAGAGCAGTTTGGAACAGCTAAGGGAGACAAACTTGTCTGTTGATTTGTGGTGCTGTGGTGGCTTGCTTGTTGCTGTGAGGCTGGAGGCTATACCATGGGTGTTTCAAGTGGTAGTGGGGCCTATGGTGGACAAGTTTCAGTGGAGCTTCCAGACTAAGACAGACTCAGAAGAAGGAAGAGGCCATCCACTTCTCAAATAATTGGGCAGTGAAAACTTTATGAATAACAGTGAAAAACTATCTGATGTATTATGGGAAAACTTTATGAATAGCTCTGAAACATTGTCCAATATAGTGCCAGAAGATGAGCCCCTCAGATTGGAAGACACTCGAAATACAACTGGGGAAGAGCTGCCTCCTCAGAGTAGAGCTGACCTTAATGATATGGATAGAGTAAAGCTTTTGGGACTTCCATTTGCTGATGTGGCAAGTCTCAAGATGAGAAGAAACAGCTGCAAACATCCATTCATAATCAAAACATGGAATATATGAAGACATATCAATCTAGGAAAATTGGAAGTTGTCAAATATGAAATGGAATGCATAAAGATGGGTATCCTAGGCATTAATGAGCTGAAATAGACTGGTTTGGGCCATTTTGAATCAGATGATCATATGATCTACTATGCCAGGAATGACAAATTGAAGAAGAGTGGTGTGGCATTCATCATCACAAGGAATGTAGCAAGATCTATCCTAAAGTACAATACTGTCAGTGATAGGATAATATCCATATGCCTACAAGGAAGACAGTTAATACTACTACTATTCAAATTTATGCACCAACCAACAAAGCCAAGGATGCGGAAGTTGAAGATTTTTACCAACTTATGCAGTCTGAAATTGATTGAATATGCAATCATAATGCATTAATTGTCACTGGTGATTGGAATGCAAAAGTTGGAAACGAAGAATCACCGGTAATTGGAAAATATGACCTTGGCGATAGACATGATGCTGGAGATTGCATGATAGAATTTTGTAAGACCAACAACTTACTTATTGCAAATACCTTTTTTCAACAATACAAATGGTGGCTATACGTGTGGACTTCGCCAGATGGAGTACGCAGGAATCAAATTGACTACATCTTCAGCAAGAAGAGATGGAGAAGCTCAATATCTTCAGCCAAAATGAGGCCAGGAGCTGATTGTGGAACAGACCCATCAACTGCTCAGATGCAAGTTCAAGTGGATGTGAAGACAATTAAAACAAGTTCATGAGAGCCAAAATATGACCTTGATTATATCACTCCTGAATTTAGAGACCCATCTAAAGAATAGATTTGATGCATTGAACAGCAGTGACAGAAAACCAGAGGAATGTGGGATGGTATCAAGAACATCATCCATGAAGAAAGCAAGAGGTCATTAAAAAGATGAAAAAAGAAGAAAAGACCAAAATGGTTGTCAGAAGAGACTCTGAAACTTGCCCTTGAATGGAGAGTAGCTAAAGCAAATGGAAGAAATGACAAGATAAAAAAGCTGAACAGAAGATTTCAAAGAGCAGCTCGAGGAGAGAGAGTCATTTATGACAATGAAATGTGCAAAGACCTGGAGTTAGAAAACCAGAAGGGAAGAACACACTCTTCATATCTCAAACTGAAAGAACTGAGGAAAAAATTCAAGCCTTGAGTTGCAATATTGAAAGATTCTGTGGGCAAAATTTTTAGTGATGCAGGAAACACCAAAAGAAGATGGAAGGAATACACAGAGTCACTGAAAAGAATTGGTCAATCTTTATCTATTTTATTAGGTGGCATATGATGAAGAACCAATGATGCTGAAGGAGGAAGTTGACACCACACTGAAGGAATTGGTGAAAAACAAGGCTCCAGGAATTAACGGAATACCCACTGAGATCTTTCAACAAATGGAGGCAGCACTGGAGGCACTCACTTGGCTATGCCAAGAGACTTGGAAGACAGCTACTTGGCCAGCTGACTCAAAGAGATTCCTATTTGTACCCATTCCAAACAAAGATGATCCCAAAGAATGTGGAAATTATCGAACAGTGTCATTAATAGCACATGCAAGTAAAATCTTACTGAAGCTAATTCAAAAACGGTTTTAGCAGTATATTGACAGAGAACTTCCAGAAATGCAAGCTGAATTCAGAAGATGACATGGAATGAGGGATATCATAGCTGCTGTTAGATGGATTCTGGCTGAAAGCAAAGAATACCAGAAAGATGTTTACTTGTGTTTTATTGACTATGCCAAAACATTTGATTGTGTGGATCATAACAAATTATGGATAACCTTGAGAAAAATGGAAATTCTAGCACACTTAATTGTGCTCATGAGGAAGCTATACATAGACCAGGAGGCTTTCACTCAAACAGAACAGGGGAAAACTGCATGGTTTAAAATCAGGAAGGGAGTGTGTCAGGATTGTATCCTTTCACCATACTTACTCAGTTTGTATCCTGAGCAAAAATAATCAGGGAAGCTAGACTATATGAAGAAGAATATTGCATCAGGATTGGAGGGAAAGCTCATCAACAACCTGCGATAGATGACACAACTTTGCTTGCTGAAAGTGAGGATGACTTGAAGCACTTACTGATGAAGATTACAGAATACAGTCTGCAGTATGGATTACACCTCAATATAAAGAAAACAAATATCCTCATAACTTGTCCAGTAAACAGCTTCATGACGAATGGAGAGAAGATTGCAGTTGTCAAGGACTTCATATTACTTGGTCTACAATCAACACCAGTGGCAACAGCAGTCAAGGCATCAGATGACGTATTTTATTGGGCAGATCTGCTGCAAAAGACCCCTTTCAAGTGATGAAGAGCAAAGTTGTGTCCTTGAAGACTAAGGTGCATCTAAACCAAGCAGTGGTATTTTCATCTGCTTCAAATGTATATGAGAACTGGACAATGAATGAGGAAGACTGAAGAAGAGTTGATGCTTTTGAGTTGTGTTGGTGAAGAATACTGAAAGTACCATGGACTGCTAAAGGAACTAGCAAATCTGTCCTGGAGGAAGTGCAGCCAGAATGCTCCTTGGAAGCAAGAATGGCCAGACTTCATCTCACATCCTTTGGTCATGTTGTCAGAAGAGATCATTCCCTGGAGAAGGATATAATGGTTGGTAAAGTGGAGGGTCAATGAAAAAGGGGAAGACCCACAACAAAATGGATTGACATAGTGTCTGCAATGACGGGCTCAGGTGTAGCAAGGATCATGAGGCTGGCACAGGACTGAACAGTGTTTTGTTCTGTTGTACATAAGGTCACTTCTGAGTCAGAGATGATGTGACAGCACCTAACACAACAGTAGCTCTAACAGATAGAATTTTTCTTATTCTATAATCCTCTTGTTATCTCAATACAGCAGTGTTTCTTTTCTCTTATATGATTTGTAGACCTGGAAAGCAACTTGTTAACAGTTACTGTTGTGTTGGCTCCAACTCACAGCAACCTTATGTATAACTAAGTTAAATGTTGCCCTGTCTTGCACCATCTCCATGATCTTAGATACATTTGATCCCATTGTTGAGGCTTTTAGGTCAATTAATCTCATTTTTGCTGACCTACTTTACCAAGCATGATACTCTTTTCTTGTGATTAGGGAAAGCAGTTTATGGATCATTGGTATTTAGTGCGTATGTGAAAAAAATGAAAATATTTTCTGTATGACTGGCTCTCTTTGAATTAATTGAACAAACCAACCAAAGAGTAAAGCCGACACAGAAGATATTTTATAAGTTAAAAAAAAGAACTCCCCAGAGATGAAGTACAGTCATCTCAGGTAAGTATCTTACATATGTTCCTTATGCTATAAGGAGCTCTAGAAATCACAGTAATAATTTATTGAGTACTTAAAATTAAAAAAAAAAATACAGTGATATAAAAATATATATACCCATTTCTTATAGTACTTACCGAACAGTTGTACAGTGGCGGCAGTGATGGGCTCAAGTTTAGCAAGAATCGTGGAGCTGGCTCAGAACCAGGTGGTGTTTCGTTCTGCTGTGCATAGGGTCACTATGAGTTGGAGATGACTTGATGGCATTTAACAACAACAACAACTTATTTTTAAAATGTGTGAATAACAAGATGCTTAAATGCCACAAGATAAAATAGAGGGAATGTTAGTTACATGGTTTTGTGTGTGTGTGCTTTTTTTTTTTTTTTTTTTTTTAAATTTTTAAATACTTTTATGTGTTGTTAATAGTTGCCATAGAGTTGATTCTGACTCATGGTGATGACACGTATGCA